AAAAAAAAGAAAACGAAAGAATTTGAAGAATGAGGAACGAAAGAAATATGTTTCATATGTTACAAGGTAGAATTTTTTTTTGTTTTATCAACAAAACTGACAGGTGAAAACAACTGTTGAAATCATAAAAAATAATAATAATCATCATCTCCTACCATGTGTCGATGGGGATGTGACAATTATGAATCTGTAAGAAGATCTATGACTATTTAATCTTGCTTTAATTAAGACATAATGCCGATATTTTACAGACATATATATGTAAATTTTGTGGTACACGCTATTGTTCAAACTGTCTTCGTGGTGATTTTTATGGATTAATGAAAGCTCCTGATCATTGTCGTAAATGCAATCAAGTAAAAATATTTTTATTGAAATTCTTTGTTTTTCCGATTATTTATTTTAGATGAAATGTCAAGGAAAACATGTTGAAGTTGTTGTATTTGCACCTGATACTGAACCGAAAGCACCAGCAAAATCTGGTAAAGGCAAAGAATCAGCAGGCAAAAAATCCAAAAAGGAGAAATGATTAACATAAGACGGAACAACAAAGACAAAGATAAAAAAAATCATTTTTATGTTGTGTCATTTTTTTTTCTTATTCAAATTTATAAGAAAACAAAGATAAGCATATAGTGATATCAAATGACATATTCTTCTATATGCATTTTTAGTTTATTTTCTCATTATAAAATAAGAAGACAAGTGAATGTCTTAGAATCTGACTGTCTAATCAAAAGAGCGAATCATTTCGCTTCAATGACAATTAGAATATTAATGAGAAACAAAAAAAGAGATCGAGATAGTAAGAGAGAGAGAGAGAGAGTGAAACAAATGTAAATTACGAATAACATACTATCTTCACATGAACATTTATCTGAAACCAAAAAAAAGAAAGAAATCCATCAATTCTTTTAGCTCAGTAATAATAGACAACATTGAAAAAAAATATATAGTATATCTGAATAGATATGTCTGATCTTAATTTATTCATATTTTGAAAAGACTTTTTCCAAAGTGACAAGACAATATTACAATCTTTTGTCATTCTTGCTTTTATTTTCTTACTATCGAGTTTCATATTGAACAGCTACTAAAAAACAAAATATTAACATTTGACCACAACGAGAAAAAAAACGAAGTACTCTATTTTGTTATTGTTTTTCTTATTGTCCGGCAATCATTCAGACAGTTAATATCAGTGCAAGTGTCGTCAGTGCGTGACCTGCTTACGAAAATCGTCGTCGTTCTACTCGTCTTCCTATCAATTCAACAACAATACCCGGACGTCCATCAATGTCCTTAATAACAAATACAAAAAAAATCCTCTTAAACTAATAATGGTTCAACATCAAATACAGATACAAAAGCTTGTCAGTGCAGCTCCTTTGGAGCTGAAATGTGGAACTCACGTATATCCTTCCAATTTGTTATTCTAATGCATTACTTGTAAAAAAAATACTTTTTTTTTCAAATATTTATGAATGCATTAGAATATTGTATAGAATCTGAATCCTTATGTGCGCGGTTGCTGAGGTCTGTAATGGGGGGGTTGTCTGTAATGGTGGCCTGTCTGTGATGAGGAGGGTGTCTGTAATGGGGGGTATGTCTGTAATGTTCTCTTTCCCGTTGCTAAGTGTCTGTAATGGTGGGGGAGGGGGAGCCGCAAAACCTCGATTTAAAACTTACACTCACTATTTTCTTCGAAAATATATGTGAGTTCCACAAAACGAGCAACATCAATTGAAGATATTGCTAATACAGTTACATCAACATTTAATAAAGACTCATCAAGTGGTTTCAATTATCAAAGTTTAACTGAATCAACGCCATTAAATGTATTCAAAACAAAAAGAAAAGTATGTGTACGTTCACATAGTTCAACAAATGCTGAACTTAGTTATCATTTACAACAGTTAAAAGATCTCGGTGTGGGTGTGGGTGAAGAGAAGATCAACACCCACACCCACACCCCACCCCGCTACCTTTTCAAAGGAGGGATGTTAGATTGTAAAAGTTTGTGGTTGATAGTTTTAGACATTGATATGGTGTATGAGGGAAAAAAAGCAAAAAAAATATTTTTTTATTGAGTGCCTCGTATATTGGAATGATACTTAACGGTCTCATGGAAGCTCACTTAATCTTTAGCCAATACTAGGTCGATGTGACTTAAGTAATAATTCTAGTAAATAGAATCAATCGTTGAGAAAGAATAAAATATCACATATCTATTCGTAAGAATAGTTTGGTGAACTTGATAGATTGAAGTTATGTACGAAAACGAGAAAATCATTTTCAGTTACTTCATCCTGTCTGAAATATCATTATTCTGTAGAATTGACTAAGCATTTGATTGACTATTTAATTGGTGGTATTCGACAGATTGGACAGATATTATTTTCATAAAAATAAAAGATAAAACTTGATCGATTTCGAATCTCTATCAAATAGTATCATATTACTCTTAACCAAGGATCGATACAATCTTGATGATAGACATGAAAGCATGTTTGTCGACGCAATATTTGTTGTGGTTGAAATTGTTCCATACAGATATTACATTTTGCTTCTTCTTTACTTTGATTTGCCGCGTGATAATATTTTTCAGTTGGTAATGTACTAATCTGTTCTTCTGTTAGTTTATTGGCCTTCGTTAACTTATCTAATTCAAGTAATCTCTAAAAGAATAAAAAAAGGTCTTCATAGAATAAAAGTGATTCAATGACAATCTACTTCGTAATCTTCAGGTCCAAAGTCTCTATCCATGTTTGGAAGATCTTCCGTAGCAGGATCATTGAAATGATCATTAATGATTGGAACGTGATTTTGAGCATTATGCGGTTGCAGTAGCATTGAAATAGGATTGATAGCAGAATTAGAATCATTATTAGACGAGATATTAAAGGTGCTTATTCTAGTGGTATTTGATGTAGGGCGTCGTACTGTACGTGATGGTCGTCGTTGTGAAGTTTGCTTATGTCGTTGAAGCTTTTCTTCTGCTGCTAAATGAGCGGCTAATTCTGCATCACTTACAATGATTGGATCATTGGGATTCACATAATTAGTCGGATTGATGCTATCATTTGATTCTTGTTTGGATGAAAAGTATGGATGAGAAGGAGGGATTACTAGACTTGGTTTGGAATATTCTTCTGCTTGTAATTCAAGAGCATAAATAGCATCGTGATCAAGTTGCGTATTTATTAATGGTGGGTCATCGATATCAATTGGACTTTCCGAGTAAAGATGTTGCTGTTGTTGTTGAGCAAATTCTTCATCATTGATTGGATCTCTACGCATTCTGAAATCGATCGAAAACTAAATAAGAAATTAATGGCAATGATTTGTTTTTCAAATTTATGATGATCTGAGTCCCATTTTCTTCTAAGAAGATTTGCTTCAAGATGAGCATGAAGAGACGAAAAATAACGAAAATAATTTTCTTTGATTTAATAATTGAAATGTCAATCAGCAATTAGATAATATCATAAAATTTACTTTTTCATAGTTTTTGTTCCAAGGACTTATTGAAATGTTTTTTTAAGAAAATGTTTGTTAACTTTTAACTCGCTAGAAAGTGTTTCTGACGAGTCAATAATTATTAGTTAGAACCAGAATTTTGTGCTCTTTTCGAATGTGGACTTTGAAATTTTGTCACAATTTTTGCTTGGAAGTAGTGAAATGATTTGTTGAAAGGCCTAAAAAATTAGTTTGAATGGAAAATTTTTCCGCCCATTTTTGTATTTCCACTATTGTAAAGCGAAACTAAAAGTTGAGATCTTTATGTATACGTTAGCTTGTAGATCTGAATAGCTTCAAGCTTGTCTGATATGCTTTCATACGGTTCAAAATTAGCAAACATTTTTACTGGAAATTTCTATCAACGAGTTTCGTCCAAAATAAATTTTTTGGCCTTTCCACAGATCATTTCACTACTTCCAAACAAAAACTGCAACAAAATTTCTAAGCCCACATT